ATCTATTGTTATTCACACGTGCCTGTGGTGTCATAAAATCGCGACAATTTCTGTCGACGTAACTTAAGGAAAAATCGCAATAAACACTTTGAGGCACAAAGCTCCACAGGTAACAGAGTCTTAATTCCTACCATATAAACAAACACGACAGACAACGACGTCATCAGATACCTTGAGAAGCACAATTGCACAAAACCTACAGTTTTCGGTGTGCTGGTCTCAAAATCAAATAGTTGATACAATGAAACCAGTGGCGTCGTCACAGTGCGTCAAGGGGCGACTGCCCCCCTATCATATTGAAAAAGGGAAGAGAAAGGGAAAGGGAAAGAGAAAGGAAAAGAAGGAGAATAAAGAAAAGGAATGGGACGAGAAGGAGAAAGGCCAGGAGCAAGAGAACTATAAAATGAAAAATATGACGTAAGGGAGGGCAGGGGAGAGGGGAAAAATAAAGATAGAGAAAAGAAAAAAAAGAGAAAAAAGCAAGCCAAATCAGGCGATCAGATTTAGACGCGTCATTATTACATTCACATTTAATACCGGAAGTTCAAACATTGGTTTACGATGAAAAACCTTTCGCCAACTTCATCTATAACAACCCTTCTGAAAAATATGGTGACACCCCCCCCCCCCCCCCCCCCGCCTTCTTGTTCCTGTTAGTTGAACTTAATTAATTTTCTGGAAAATTTCTTTTTGATTTGGCAAAAATTATGCACCAAATCGAGCCATTTATCGAGCATCAATTAAAACAAAAAATCTTCAAATCTGAGGGGGGCATATCGCCCCTCAGACAACCCCTGCGTTCTTGGTCCTGTTAGTTGAAAAAAAATGTTGCAAGTATGCACCAAAGCGAGCCAGTTATGCCCTAAAACACCCCCCTGCGTGGCGCGCCCATTCGCCCCCCTAACAAAATAATCTGGCGCCGCCCCTGAATGAAACTTAAAGCATTTTGTTTAGAAGAGTAAGCCCACAGTGCGGAGGAATAAATTGACTTAACCTGTTTGAGTATTCTTTTCATGTTTTTATTATGAACAGTCCTTTGATAGTCAAACAAACACCCTGGAATGATAGGATTTGGGGTTCCACACGAATTTAATAATTATGTCATATTTCGTTGAGGTTAGGGCTAATATACCCTAAAGATACAACAAAACAAACATTAAAAAGGAGGCAATAAAGAGCATGAGTTTCAACGTTTGATAAAAATCAGCAGGTTTTGCCATGGTTTTAATCTTTAATGATTTGTTGTTTGTATATTACACACAGAGTTCTTTTAAAGCAGTCCATCAAGGAGATAAAAAAAGAAATGTAATAAAACTAGTTTCATATGTGACAACTTTTTGTGAAGAAACTTATTTTCTATCCTACTTTCTTTAAAAAAAGAATAGATAAACTGATACAACTGTATAAACAAACGAAATACATTTTGGTATAACAGAGTAATAGATTAATAGATTATCAATGATCGGGTTTACTTATTAACACACTTGTCACACTTGTTTATGCAGACCATTCGCTGTTCCCCGTAAAGTTGGAATAGTTCATTTTTCTTACCTCTTTCAAGATTTTTTTTTTTTTTTTTTTTTTTGGGGGGGGGGGGGGAGGGGGTAAAACATGTTTTTTACTTGATAAATGTATATTATATCTTCATAGGAATGTATTTATCAATTTTTCTGACTCTTTAGATTTAGTGTCAATAAAGTTCTGAGAAGATATAAACTTTATTTATTAAGAATAATCCGTATTGTCAAAATCATTTAATTAAAAGAGGTAAGAAAAATGTATTCCAACTCTATGGGCGACAGTGTAAATATCGGTAATAAAATACATGCCATGATTATTCTTGAGTAGATGGAAGTCTTATATGGTGAAAAACAAATAATGATGAGCCAAAAAGTTACGTCGCTTGAAAAAATCCGCCAACGATAGGTAACACAACGTGTATAAACTAAACCCACAACCTTTAGAATTACGTTTGCACTGGGTTTCCATGATAAAGTTATAAATCAAGACATTTTTTTAAGTGAGGGGGGGGGGGGGGGACTTACCGGGTTATTCCCGTAATACAAGCTATTTGGGGTTGCTTTTCAGACAATATATCTTCCTTTTTATGTTTGAATCAGGGGCGTGCCGGACCATTATGTTGTTGAAAGGAAGAAGTTTGGTCACGTGATCATCTAGTGTATGAGGAGCGTGGGTGGTGGGTGGTGCGATACTTGCTCCCGTGCTGATTCGATAACTATTGTCCCGCGTCTATTTCCCACAGTCACTAACCAAAGTATTTACTTAAACCCTGGACATGACACTATACCTAACCCTAACCTCAACCCTAAATCTAACCTAACACTCTAATGATAAGTGGGAGAGGGACAGAGAAAGAAAGATAACTTGGAAGGGGGGTGGGTTAAAAAAAGAAGAAGAAGAAGAAGAAGAAACGACGGTCGCAGTCCATCGTGATATCAAATGTAAAAAATGAAGTGAAACATTAATGTTCTAAAGGTTTATAATGTTTGGATACTAGGCACAATACCAATAACATTGGAAACATACATTCTTTGGTATACGTGTTTATACGCAGGGGCGGTTCCAGGATTCTGCTAAGAAAGGGGCAACATTTCCCAAATTTCTGATAATCAAAAATAGAATAAAAATTAAGTGGTTATGTCACATTCCTATGGCGTCTAAGATTTTAAAGGGAGAAGAACACAATAAAGGGGCACATTTTGTTGAACTTGAGATGTGCCAAATTTGGTTTCTGAAAAGGGAGGGGCTCATGCATGCCCCTCAATGTCATTCCTTCCTCCCCAAGTCCCCCTTAATCCACCACTACTTAACAAACATATCAAGACGTGTTGAAATAAATAGGAATTCTTGATATTCAGGATATGGTATTATTAAGGTAAACATTCATGCATTCTTTGTAGATTTTACTGCGTGGATCAACATTATTGTGTATATATTTTTTTTTAAATCTTCATCATTTTTGTACTTCTCATTGATTTGAGGTAGAGATTGTTTTTCATCGTGTGACATTCCTCTTTTGGAGTAAATAAACCTTAAATTTACTAAATGCACTATTTTTCAAATGAGCTATCCCTTTTTTCCCCAATGCTTAAAATATAGTTTTTGGTCAATTTGTTCTAAAAAAGGTATAAAGAAACAAGCAATTGAATATAATATTGGATAAGTCTTATGCATTGTTATAAAATACAGTTAATGTCTAAATTAAACGATTCACATAATGCTAAAGTTTTGTAGGGTACATGTATAAGAATTTACTTTTCCAGAGATTGAACCACCTTATCTCAGATATCTGTAAAACATCAGGTATCCATTATAAAAATACTCAATTCATACAAAATGTGATTTTATCATAATTTACCAGCCATTTCATTCATCATTGAATAACCATTTCAAATGACATTTTTCCCTCTGGCATTTTACCTCTATCTTTATACCTCCGCATTTTGACGTCTTGCATTTTCACTTCTGATATTGTTACCTGGAACCATGGAAACACTATCTCAGCAATATTGCAAACTAGCAGATCTGATGTTGTAATAAGATATGGGAAAATAGAAGAAAGTTCCATGGTTTTGACAAAACTAGGAATTATCATTGATATGTCAAGAGTAGAGAAAATAAAATTCGATTAATCGCCAAATTTAAAGTCAGAATAATTCCAAAGTTTGTTTTGAAATGATGAAATTATCCGTGGCATTATCAGTGTCATAAACATACAGCTCTCAGGGTATTGGTTATTATCGCATCATCAACTAACCAACTATATAAATCTACCATTGTTTGGTGAACTCAGGCAGTATGATTTAAGCCCTACAAAGCTACATCTTTTTGAAAATTAGTCGTTATTTTTCTCAAGGATTATAATTGTTTAAAAGCCAAAACATTGCCTCTCATTTTACTCGATCAACTTAATAGGTACATTTTATTTTCTCAACACTTCGAATGCATCAACTTGAACCAATAACTCGCTAATGTTTAAACGCCAATCAGAAAGGAAAGGAGAGAGTTAAAATTGAGACCAATTGACATGTTCCCTTGTCGATATTTTATCTTGGCTAATAAAATGTCTGCGGGTGATGCGTCAAGGTAAATAGAACAGGTCTGTGCATTGTCACTGGGCATGACCAGATGAATGGAATGTGACAATTAAATAATAGAGCAAATAATATATAAGTGTGTGGGAGTTTCAACCGGCATATATCATTTGCAAACACAATTCCTCGGTTGTCCAAAGTTTCAAACTTCAAGGAGTGGTTATATTTGTTATTTGTACATGTATTTGATTTTGAATCGGCGTGACTCTGTGAGTTAAGTTGTTTTTCAGATGATGTAGAATTAGAATGATCTTCGACAATAGGCAATAAAAAAGAACACACTCTAAGGGAGAGGCCCACACAGGCTTGCCTAGACTTACTGCTACGTTTATGAGTAAGAAATCGAGTGTTTTCTCACGCACTTTGAAGTTTCAAAATTTGTATTGTGAGACACAGTTTTAGAGGCATTGTCTCGAGCGCCAAGCAGAGACAGATACCCGTGTTATACAAGAAGCCACTGTTGTCGTTATCATTGTCATTATCATCATCACTATTACCATCATCATCACCATCACTACTACCACTACCACCACCATCATCATCACCATCACTACTACCACTACCACCATCATCATCATCATTATCAATTTCATAATCATCATCTTTATCATCATCATAATAATAACTAGGACCACCACTAGGATGATGATCATCATTATAACATGTTAATTACTAAAACAATGCTCAGACATTAACACAATGGGTGTAATATATTCATTAAAAGTATACCATTTGCGGAAAAGGTTCAAGCCTCCAGAAAAAGGACGGTTATAGATCAATTGACTTATGAGGTGCATAATTCAATTTCACCATCCAATGAAAAGATTTATATAAATCAGAGAATAAACAATAAAATGTACACATTCACAAATCCAAAATTCAATATAGTATTTTCTATAATTCATTTTATTTAAATGTCTATTACAAAATTACTTTCAGTTAACAAAAAAATAAACAAGAATTTGACACTTGGTGAGCCATAATAATTGAACTAAAGTGAAGCTAAGGTTGAACAAAGAATTTAGTCTGCCTGTATGAATCTAAACCAGAGTATTCTTAGATACCTTAACCAAATTCATATCTTAAAAGAGTCAATCTTTGGCAAGATTTAATGTCCTTGGAACTGAAAGGGTCTGTACTACTGCAGATAATGACACTGTAGTTGAATTTCAACAATTACTAATCACTTTTATTCTTTTGTATTGAATGAACCCATATACATGTACATTTGAAAATTATCAAGGTAAAACAAGTTGGCTGTCATCATTACCAATATTCATTGTTATTCCTTACAATTTCTGCAGCAATTATTGAATATACCTTCATGGTATGTGTCAGATAAAAATAAACTCAAGATTTTATAGTCTGCATATATCATCTGTTTGGAGCTACAAGCACAAGTGCTTTAACTTATTTGTGTGAGTATGTTTGTTTCTTTATGAATGTGTTCCTCTGCGTTTTATAATGTACATCATTTTTAAATTTGCATGCTTTTTAACTGGAATGTGGAAAATAAATAAATGAAATTAACTCATATACTTTTAACACAAAGTTTAACGCTCTTCTGGCTCTGAACATACAATATAGGTAGGCCTACATGCACCAAGTCTCCCCTGTGTATCTGACTCTGAACATACAATATAGGTAGGCCTACATGCACCAAGTCTCCCCTGTGTATCTGGCTCTGAACATACAATATAGGTAGGCCTACATGCACCAAGTCTCCCCTGTGTATCTGGCTCTGAACATACAATATAGGTAGGCCTACATGCACCAAGTCTCCCCTGTGTATCTGACTCTGAACATACAATATAGGTAGGCCTACATGCACCAAGTCTCCCCTGTACCTGGCTTATGAACCTCTACACGAGTTCAAATAACTGTAGGACAAGGGCAATTTACGGATAACAGCTAAATTATTCATACCCTTACCAAGTTTTATAATTTCTTACGTATGTGAAAAATTGATTTGGCCCAAAACTTTTTTTAAATGTGACATAATAATCAAAGTTTACATCTAGAACTATAAAACAAAGGCCTTGATTCAATCAATCCACCTTTCATTCATGAGTTATGAAAAATGTTGGGGGAAAAAAGAAAAATAAAAATAAAAATAAAAATAAATAAATAAATAAATAAATTTAAAAAAAAAGTAATTTAAAAGGGGTATGAATGATTTACTTAACTGTTAGGTTTCAAAATTAAGGTGTTTGCATATCTAGATTCTATGTGTGAAAATTTCACTATCAAAGCTAAACCATTGTATATCAATGAAGTATTATAACAGCCATACAACATATTATTAAGGCACATGAATAGCTGTCTTGAGCAGGTAATATACTACTACAAACAGAGAAGAGAATCAACCCTCAAAAGTTGATATATGAACAGCAATGTATTCATAAATACCACTTTTTATGGCACTCTTGGAAGATCAATTTTGCAAAATTCCTGACTGGAGAGCCTGGTCAGATCGTCAGTGACACATGACGCATACACTTTCACACACACAAGACAATATCTTAAAGGCCCACTGCACTACTTGTAGCTACTTGCGCCCTTTATATAACAAACCATGCCTAATCGGTGACCATTGGTCCCCCATGATCCTCTTTTTCTTATGTTAAGTGAGAGCTGAGTTGATGAGATAACCACCTGTCCAGTGACCTTGCAGGGCAGTCTAATCCCTCCTGTAAACTATGGCAGATACGCTTTAATGGATAAACTTGAGTAATTAGTCTGTTGGAAACCACAAGGACATCAACTCTGTGCCAATTTATTTGAGTTAATTTCATGAGAGTATATGTCATCCTGGCTACAAACAGACAAATTACACTTAAATGATAAATATGAATTAATTGTAAAATGCCCTATACTAGGGTATTGTACATGATAATTGGTCGTAATAGGAGATGTTCTTAATCATTGGTGAAAATTCCTTGAAAAAAACTCAGTTCATACATGTGGAGAATGATATTTTTCACTAAATGCTCAGCCAATCAAGTCAAATGTGGACCTAACGTATGCAACTTCAATGGTAACCATGATGTCACTTATTGTCAAAGATGGAAGCTGCAAATAAACTGTGAATAAAGTACAAGGTCTTGTCCACATAAGCCTTGGTTACACACTGCGGTTTACCCCCAAGGGATTTCATGCATACGTTAAGCATACTTGAGGACGTGCTGTAGTAATGCTTGTGTGCACCTTAGCTGCGCAGGGCCAGGTGATCAAGTATTTACGCTGCAAAATACCAGGAGCTCCAGGCATTGTGCATGGTGAATACATAACCAGCTGGGCGAGCTGGCCCTGCCCAGATACTGCGGAGCGTCCTTCAATGTCCTTCAATGCCCATCTTATGCACAGAACATCTGTTACACACAGCTGATTTTATATAATCTCTATGCGGCATTCATTCAGTGCACAAAAACTAGTGCGGTTTTAATACTGTGGTAAATGTGAGTGAACCTCAAGTTCGTCATAAGTAAGAGAGCACAGTTCTAAGGGCTGCAGGAAAGAATGTTCAAAGTTCTTGCAGCGCACAGGACACATCAATCAACAGGTTGATGGTAAGGATGATGTTGATGACCCCTAGCGAACCCTTCCTCTCCTCCTCCCACGTCTCCTCGGAGATAGGTATACAACGAACCCAGGAACCCAACAAAGAGGGCCGCTGCTAGCAGGAACGCAACGAAGCCTGTCGGCGTGATATCCCAGACAAACAACAGAAGCAGGTACAGTATAGCAAGGAATGTCAAGGTCCGGTAGTTGGCCAGGAAGCGGAGACTTAGTCTCGGACGGTACCAGGACGGCGCTCTACCAGCGGGGTCTAAAGCATGTGATGGAGGGCTCCCTCTAGGGTTGAAGTACCATCTGGCCATGGCTCCTAGCAAACCACCCTGAGAACACACCTCCAGGAGCTTGTCTCCAAACTAAAGATAGAACGAAACAAGAATAGCATATTTTATTCTGTATGTCTAAAAAGTTATTAAAATTGACAATCCCATTCTTGAGTTGCAATTCACAGAGTTCCATAATACTGAAGTTGTATCAATTGCTAGTTATAACACTATGAATTCACTTGCTGATGGGAAATAGAATGTTAAAATGGACATGAAATAAGAGTACACTCTGAATACATATGATGATCTCTGCATACTCTGTTAATGAACAAAACTTGAGGAACAAAATAAATACGACTGCATCACCTATATGCCCCCCGCCCTAAATTTATTCAGTAAAAAGAAAATGGATAGAAATATTCTTGAAATACCATGATGAAAACAAAAGCCTAAATCTCATGTCAAATAACGACTATAATCTTTGACCTACGTACTCTACAACCTAATCAGTTTGTCTTCCTATTGTCACCAAGTGTGAAATTCAATGTCAACGAAAAAGCGGGACTGACAGATGGGAGGACAACCCGAAAACAAGATGGCTCTGGCACCACCTTTGGTGGGCGGGGGCAAACAAATATTCTGCCATTTTGAAGTCTGTCAAAAAGAAAATAAATGTACATCTTCTATTAAGTGCAGTAAAACCTTTCTGAGTGACCATATGTAGAGACACCACATAACTTACTTCCTGTTAACATTTCTTTCTTACTGAATGATGCATTAAAAAGACCTGTACATAAAGACCTAATGCATATAAAGACTACCTTTCTTGCCTCCCTTCAAAAGGTCTTTGTGTACAGGTTTTTACTATATATGTCTACATTTATGACTAGTACATTTATTCTCACTGATTCATCCAAGCAACTTACAGCATCATTGAACTGGCAGGAGAGTGCATGCAGGACCCGTACTAGTGCCGCATTTTCAAAGGTCCTGATTGGTTGAAGGTCTGGATCGCCATGGAAACATACATCAGAACTTCTTAGTCTGTTCATAAGCTAGTAAAAAAAGTGAGAAATATAAAAAGAGCTTTAATTTAGATTTAAAATTTAAATTATCAATCAAAGTGACAGAGCAAGGATATATCAAAAATACTTTGGGATTTCACTTGGTTGAGGTAAAAATTATATGTGAGTAAAATGAAGAATGACATGAAATTCAAGAAAGGGGAGATGTACATGCAAAGGCTTCATTTTTGTGTAATGACTACAGTTGATACGTAACAATTTAAAAATGATGATTAATGACACAACACAAAATGAAAGAAATAAATATGAATTTTTTTTAGTTATTCATCAATGGTGATTAGATGGCGCTGTTTCCTTTTTCTCTGGCTCAAATATTGATTCAGTCATTTCAGTGTTTCATTTTTCTTCAATATTGCTCTAAGAATGTTTGCCACCGAGTTTTACACCTCCTTTTCTTTGTTGTGACTGTTTAATTAAGATCTAGGCCCTGTCTTAAAAACAGTTTAGATTAATTGCAACTCATTTGCGATCGATATCAATCGCAACTATGTAGTTAAGAGATAGGAGACTGTCAAGTTGCATTTAATTGGAGGACTTGCGATTGCTTCAGATCAATCGTAACTCTTTATAAGACAGGGCCCTGCTGGTAATAACTAATCTCTTTGTACAAGGTGCTCATGCAATCTTGGGTCAACAGGGATAAGTAAATTAATTTCCTTCTCTAGGGGATTTGAACCTTCAACTGCATGTCTGAGTGTCATGAGGACGAATCACTCTCCGATGATATTTTTATAATTACCTGGAATTTTCCTAGTGGCGTGAGTTGACCGTCCATCATGTCAGGAGGGAGGTGTTGATCCCGACCGATCTGACCAACGTTCCAGGTCATTGTATCTTCAGGGTGAGGCAAGGGAACCTGGGAGATCGGATGAGAACAATATGGGATATGAAATTAGTAGTCTTGTGAATCCTGTTGTGATATATATGGAGTCCATTTACAGAAGATATATGCTATTGTTGATTTTTAATTTCTTTTAATAGACAAGTGGTTTTTCTATACAGGTGGTCACTAAAGCAAGGTGTACTGAAATCAAAACCATAGCAATGTAGACAGAATTATTCACCAATTTGGGGAGAGGATCTTGAAACAAATGTCTATATCCAGAACCTTCTTATAACTTTACAGATGTAGATAATTGCAAAACAATATTTCAAAAGTTTGTGATCACAGTTTCACTTTTTTTTTCATAAGCCTTACATCAAATATTTCTGAGAAAAACTCTCCTGAGCTCTGCAGGTACACCTCGGCCTTGCGGGTGTCGAATGGCCCAATGTCATCAAAGAGGGCGTTGTGATTAGCCTGTCTGAGGCTGTTGGTGAAGAACGATTTGATGGTTTGAGTGATATCTCCAAAGCTTGGTCCTGCCATGGTCTTTACTGTAGTCTGGGCTTGGGTGATGAAGCCTAATAGCTGCTCAATCTGTGTAAGGGGAAAATAAGGTGTACACATTTAATATATTCATTGTTGTCTGATTTTGATGTTTCGTCTTACTACATGTAGCTAAACAATTCTTAAGATTACCATTTATTTTCCTTAAATATACATATTTATTTATTTATATAAGGAAAGCAAGATTATGTTTAATAGTGGTTATCATGGCATGGTAGCCCTTCAGATACTCTCCTGTTTAAAAGAAAATGGTCAAATAAATGATATCAGAGTTAATTGTACCACAGAACAAATATAATTCTTATTATTCATATTGAAAAGTAGCATTAATTTTCTGTTTTTGGACAATGATCATTATTCACCAAACTTTCAGGGATACCATTTTCCATTACTATACATTCTCAGCCCAATTGTTGATTATTTCAACCACTTTGGACACGATCCAAAATGAACAATGCACCCCTAAGGCTTGTGCATGCCTTGCATAAACTGATGGCATTTAGATCACAGACCACCAACAACATGTAAAATCGCCTGACCTGATTGGAGGGGGAAATTTAAATGGTGATAAGTGCACTGGTAGAACTACACAATGTTGCTGCAAAAACGGAATCTTTCATGAAATGTTTATGGACTGCAATTTCCAAAGCCAGAAAATTTGGCAAATGGCATGAATTTAAGTGGGACTGCACTACCTGTAGCTACTTTCGCCCTCTATATAGCAAAGAATGCCTAAGTGGTACCTGTGGTCCCCAATGGTCCCCTTTTTCTTATGTTAATTGAGAGCTGATTTGATGAGATAACCACCTGTCAGTGACCACGCAGAGAGGTCTAATCCCTCCTGGCCAAACTAGTGCAAATAGGCTTTAAGGTTGCCAATTGTGATTGATTGATATCATTTCATTTTACTTTCCCCAATCTGAACCACTTACAAAAAAAAAGACAAACATTTCATGAACGCAACAATTTACAATCCTTACCGTAGCTGCACCGCTAGCATCAAAGAGTGGTCTGTACATGTACCCTGGTGCCTCTACCTCCAGGAGATGGGTGTAGAGCCTGGTACCCATGGCCAGGAGGGCGCTGGGCAGGTGGGTGGAGGACGGTACCGACCCAGACAGGGACATGAAGCTAGGGTTAGCATTTAGACCCCCTCCCCCTCCGGCGCCGTAGGGTTGCGATGGGTGATAGAGAAGGTCTATGAGATGCTCCTCGGCTGAATGCAGAAAGGGAGATTTGAGAATGAAAAATATGTAAATTACTATAAGATCTAGGATGGACTGGTTTTAGATTTGAACAAGGGAAACGCTCTAGGCGTTCTCGCCTGCATAACGCAATTCAATATGATAAACCAGAACGTCAATGACGTAGCGCTCATCCGCATCTCACAACAACAAATATCGTAAATTTTATGTGGTACACTTTTGAACTGGTCAAAAAATAGAAATTTGATGCCCTGGAAGGGACATAATTTCATTTCATTTGCATAAAGTACCATGAATAATCAATGGAGCAAAATCTCACAATTCTGTGTAGAAGTTTATTGTTCCAAATTTAGCTCTACCAGATAAGGCAAAATCGGTCAAGAAATGAGGGAAAAGAAGCAATTTTGTTATTTTTGGAATAAATTTGCATAAATTACCATAATTAATTAATGGAGAACAATTTCAAAATTCTGTGTAGAAGTTTAGTGTACCAAAGTTAGCTCTACGATATAAAGCAAACCAAATCAAAATCGGTCGAGAAATGAAGGAGAAGAAGCCTTTTTTGTGATTTCGAATAAATTTGCATAAATTAGCATAGATAATGAATTTCACGATTCTGTGTAGAAATTTTAAATTCCCTCCTAGCCCTATCATATGAAACAATCAGAATCAAAATCGGTTGAAAAATAACGAAGAAGAAGCATTTTGAAAATCTTAATGTTGATGCCACAACAAAGTCTAAGTTTGTTGACCTTAAATGGCCTTTGACCTTAACTTAGTGACCTGAAATTCTACTCACATGATTGGGGAGACTTGATAACTCTATAGTCCAAGTTTCATTGACTAAGAACTTATACTTTCAAAATTATATCAAAAATTCAAAAACTTAACCTTAGGTTAAGTTTTCGATGATGATGCTACAACATAGTCCAAGTCTGTTGACCTGAAATGACCTTTGACCTTGACTTTGTGATCTGAAATTCTACTCACATGATTGGGGATACTTGATTACCCTATAGTCAAAGTTTAATTGACTAAGAACTTATACTTTAAAAATTATACCAAAAATTCAAAAACTTAACCTTAGGTTAAGTTTTTGATGTTGACGCCGTCGCCGTCGCCGCCGCCGTCACCGGAAAAGCGGCGCCTATGTCTCGCTTTTTGCTACGCAGGCGAGACAAAAACAAGAATAATGAATAATGGTGGAAAGTAAGATGTAGCAAAAGAATACCTAATCTACAGCGAAATCGTATTTAAGAGATAGGTCATTTAAATTTTCATCCCATACTGACATCTATATTATTAATACGCAAAATCGCCGCGGGGGGTCCAACACGAGGCAAAACGGTTCCTCGAAAACGCCTTTCCCCGACCGCGCCCGCCTCCGCCGTGGCGCGGGAACGGCGACACAATTACACGAGGCATGTCTCCCGCAACCCGTGTGCCACGTCGACCCCGCGATCGACGTCCATGCCGTTAAACGTGGTATTCGAGGTTCCGGGGAGGACGGGTGGACGAAAGCACAGCGGGCGTCGCGGATTGCCAGGAGGCGACGAACTCGCGAGAGCGAGTCGGTAAGGCGTGCATCCGCCCTCTGTGCAATCAACAAAGAGACACACAGCGGACGGGAATCTACTTCTGTCAATGGATGTAGCACATCACGTAGTAACGGGTGTGGCTTACCCCGAGTTTAGATATCTTGCTATAGGATATGCTTTGTAGCATGTAAGAGAAATACACATTAACAGATGAATTACCCGGGTGATGGCATGTAGAAAATGCACGCTCTCACGGGTTGGGCTTACCTGTGTTATGCGTCTTTCTTGTAGGCCAGGCGGACCTGCTTCGTGTACGGTACGTGTATAATGTGTGCGATGATTCTACGCTCACCGTCACACGCACAGCTCAGTCGCTTCGACTCTGATTCTATGATGATTGCCGTGATTTGTATATAGTTTACGTGAATAGAGGTATGCAAGCAGGGTTACTTTGGTATTATCCTGTCCATGTTTACTGAATTTTGAGAATCATTCTTCAAAGTAAAGTTTTCACAAGAAATTCATCGTAATTGACAGTCCAGTTGCAAGCTAGCTGCCGTGGGGCTTGAGTCCACGCACGGACAGTGCAGTGCGCCACTGCTGCCGAGCACTGTCGGAACTGTGACTGTTTGTGAGCTGAGACTCGACAACACTTTGAAATTGCTGTTATTGCCCCCATCTCAATATAGTTTCGTGACTATACAGGTATGAAACCTGAGCTTAGATTGTGATTATTCTGCCCATGTATAGTTTTATGCTGAATTTCGATAATCATTTTTCAAAGTAAAGTTTTCACAAGAAAATTCAGATGGTCGTTTCAAAATATAGCCATGCTGGATAGAATACTTTTACTATGATACAGTTTCTTCATCAAATCAATGCATTAAAACAGGTATTATGGTGCGCCATTCATGGTCAAACAGCGTATATTATAAAAATCGTCTAGACCCTATAGAAATATAATCAAATTTTATTTTCGATAGCACATAGGCCTCTTTCTATTTACCGCCCCCCCCCCCTTCCCCTCCCCTAGAATCCCGTGGATTTTCCACGGGTCCTGCTAGTGGTAATATAATGTAAACTTCAGGTTCTGTGGTTCAAGCAATCTTTTAACAGAACAGAGTAGAAACTCAAACATTGTTTTTTTACATTGAACAAATTATTACATCATTTGAACAAATGTAGTTCAATTGAAGCATGTTCAAATCCTGCCAAACATCCAATTCATTCATATGCTATACAGTCAAACCTGTCTATAGCGACCACCCAAGGGAAATACAAAAAGTGGCCTTTGTAGACAGGTTTCTTTAGTACATGATTCAATGAGAAACCATTTTCAAGGGAAATGACAAATGTGGCCTTTGTAGACAGGTGGTCACTAAAGCAGGTTTGACTGTAGCTGTAGGTATATGTATCTAAAATCCATGTTCTCAGCATTTCCTTTCCCATGACACAACATATTTTTCACGATGGGTACATGATGACATACCTTCTTTCATGACGTTACTGAGGTGGGGCTGCCCAAAGACCTTGGCCATCCTGTAGACCATGAGGGCATTGTTTGGAATACTCAGGTCCTGATGGAAGATACGAGGCAATAACTCTTGGAAGAGGACGGTGTAGAAGGGTAGATTCTCCTGAACAAACCTCGGCCTGCAGAAAAGGAAGAAGAAAAAACCCACTGTTACATAATATCCATTTTTGTATTGCCATCGAGAGTCTTGTTTTTTATGACTTGCTATTTCAAGTATCAATCGACAAACATAAGAAAATTTACACTAAAGCATAGTTAAAAAGTGAAAAATCAACCAGTAATTAAAGGCTATCTTTCATTGAAAGCTTTGTGATGGTCCCATACCCTGGCTAGTCATACCCAAACTAATGGAGGAAGCTAAACTTGTCCTAAGGGGCAAGGGAATATTCCTTATTATACCCCGACTCTTACCATCTATCATCGTCAGCTGGAAAGGATCTTGTGCTAGCCGATTCTCTCTGCGGGTTCGTTATCTGACCCGAGGACGCACCTAGGTGTGACCTCAGGGGCGAGTGAATGTCCTTATGATAGAACCCTGTCCTGCTGGTCTCTTCGACATACCTCCAGGGTTGGATGTAACTCAGCCACAGCTCCAAGATCTGGAGTTTTAAAAAAAGATTCAATAATACAATAGTTGATAGTGAGAATGATACAATGATACTGATCTAGTATTTATATCATGAGTAGATTGACAATAAAATTACATCTCAGATTCTTCATGGATAAGTTCATTGTGCTCACTGGTAACAGAAGTAACGTCACATTACATAGAAGCAGATGGAAGGCCTTGAACTCCAATGTCTGGAACATAAAGGCACCTAGCAAGCAAGCAAAGGTTATTTCATCATAATAAAATTGCTGATACCAAGCAAGCCATAATGATGTTGTCGGGTGGTGCTCTGCTGGTAGGGTGCCTAGAAAACTCTTGAAGTCTGCCAACAGAGTAGCAAATTACAACTCTCTTATTTAGGTTTTTACCGAAAAACGTTACCCCCTCTCCCCCCCCCCCCCCAAAAAAAAAAAAGTGTCCAGGGTGCCCTTTAAAATTTTGATCCAAAACTGAGGGCAGTCAAAGACTTGAACTAGGGTCCTTGCTTTACAGGGGACCCATGCTAAGCAAACCTTGATGTCGACTATGAGCATTTGGGTGATTCAGCCTGAGGGGAAACCCAGCATCTGCATCAGCTTCATGTCAGACCTCTAAAATATGCTTAAATTTCATATTTTGCACAATTTCACCTCAAGTAATCATAAAAATCACTTCTGTTGTAAATATTTTGTCAAAAAATCTTGAAAAGAGGTGTTCTACAAGACGATATCAATGCAAAATGTACGTATTTGTGATTGACTCTGTCTTGATTTTCCAGAGTCCAAGATGTTCCTAGTCAGAAGCTAGCCTGAATTCCATTGCCCAGTATGTAAGGTAAATAGGTAGTACACATGTAATCTGCTTAGTGCTACTGATGTTAAAGTTAGTGGAAATATTCTCAAGCATTATTCTATCTGCGAGCATGATATTTTGTTAGTAATTAAGTTGTATACTCACACATGTACGAATGAGAAATACAGATTTTTTTTTTGATTTTTTGGGGGGGTTTGATTTTTTTAAATGTTATTACTGCATTTTCCCAAATATAATATACATGTAACTGAATAACAAAGAACATATAAATGTAAGGTATAATACAACATATATATTTAAAAAAATGCCATTTCATACAGATGATTTCATTAATCATCCAACTCATACCAGTATGCACACCAGCATTAATGAAGAACTATTTATTATTATTATTATAATCATGAAAAAAGCTAAAAAGAAAAGAATGGGAAGCTTATTTGCTCACAGACTCATTCATGTTTATTTATAAGTAATATACAGAAATGCAGTAAAAAAGGAGGTCAAGATAATTTGTTTTACTAATTCTGTAGCCTGCACACAAACCTCCTCTCTCTCTCTCTCTCTCTCCCTCTCTTTCTCTTTCTAGACCCATATAGAGTGGTGAAGTGTGACGTCATTAAAAATCTATTTTTAGAATTTCTCAATTTTTTCTTCATATTCCTAAAGAACATCAAAAATAATGTCCAAATATCGAAAACCAATTGAAATGTTAATTATTGGCTGAGATATGACCATCTGAATGAATATATGTCCTATGGGAACTCAGTGTTATATGCTCTGGCTCCTAACCATTAGGAGCCAGAGCATATAACACTGAGTTCCTATTGGGAGTATATTTATTCAGATGGTCATATCTCAGCCAATAATTAACATATTCAATTGGTTTTCGACATTTGGACATTATTTTTGATGTTCTTTCGGAATACGAAGAAAAAATTGAGAAATTCTAAAAATAGATTTTTATGACGTCACAGCTTCGGTACTCTATTCTCTTCAATCCAACTCATTAAAAAAAAATTATATTATTGTTTACTTCGATTGGCCATCTACTATCAACCTGACATTGGTCTTTCCTCTATTGTTTCTTCTGTGGTAAAAAAAAAAGAAGGAAAGTTCTAATTAGTGATCCTTTTTACTATGCTTTGCACCCCATAACTAAAGCTACTCATGGATAATGGTTAGTTTATTTGAGTCCAATAATGTCAGAAGTTGTTCAAAACTTGATACGCACTCCTCCATGCTGATATACTTCTGGCATACCAGCAAAATCAGTTTGTTTCAATCTCTGATATTCATGTCTCTGTTTTGCATGTTTGTTGCTAGGACTCACCTAAAAAACAAACAAAAGTCACGGACACACAAAATGTTTAGTATATTCTTTTTTATCTCTAGTTTCAAAGGTCACAGATGTGGGGCTTCCTTGGACGGCTACCTTGCCATATCCTTCTATAACAAAAAGGTATTTAGGATGAAAGTATATAACTTTTTCTCTGATTTACGATCACATACATACATTTAAAATATAATAGCTGATCTATGACATACTATGTGCATGAATCACCCCCCCCCCCCCCCGAACAAATAACGCTTATTTTGAAATATTTTACAAAACAAAATTGGAAAGGTGCAAAAGAACTTCATCTTTACCTATGGTGGTAGTAGTATGAAGTTACATGTACTTGAATATACTCAAATCGGTTCATGTTTATCACTAAAACGTTGCTAACAAAAATCACCAAAAATTACCAGCCAGGTAAAATTAATCTTAGTATCTAAATCAAATAATGGACAGACCCATACCTCCTACAAAGGGCATGAAGAATCTATGCATCCCATCCCACCACTCTGCAGATTGACTGTATGATCGATCATAGATATATATATCTTACCTGCCTGAATGACGAGTCTAGAGGCCAATTATCAAAGCCGTGTCTGAGGAACACATAGAGGGGCTTCTGCACAAACACTGGTAGAATGTACCTGGTACAAATAAAGAAGGATATTAAAGAGAAGGTTGAGTTCTGGAAAGAGGTGAAAAATAATTTGTAAGCGTTATCATTGTTATTATGCAAGTGCGGAAGAATATCAGAGAAAAAATGTTCCCTGAAAAGCATGGCACTTCAAATGCTTTCATATTCCAAATATGGCATGTAACAACATACAAATCGGGACAGATTTAAATACCACATGTTTGTGTAGCCCCATAGACATCTTTCTGTGTACAGTGCTTGTAATTTTGCCAAGACTAGGCAAAATTTCTTATCATTTTGATGATTCCAGAACCTTGCAGTACACACCAATATGCTAGATGATCAACCTTTTCTGATCGATTTCACACCATTTCTTTCACAATGCAATTGCATGACCAGAACTCAACTTCATCTTTAAATGCATAAAATACAGACAAAGATATAAGTGATCGTTAATGTTACGGGGAACCGATCACCAAATATGATTTTTATTTGTATGTTTAGAGTCCCATGTGGGTGAACTACTAAAAATGCCGGCTTTGAATATTACTTCGGTAAAGAGAAATTGCCAGTATAATTACCCCACAGGGTTAGTGTACCTGTTTATTCAGCACATTAAATTGAGTATAAGTGCAAATTCGATGTGCATCTTGATACGTAATGTATCCAATCCAATCCAATCCAATCCAGGAATTTATAAAGCGCCAATATCTAGTTGCCTAATCACAGGTGCTGATGAGACTGAAAAACTACCAAAAAAGGTTTTCATGATTCTAACTGGGAAAGAAAAAAAGCAGTGACTAATTGTAAGCAATCTCAAATAGGTTTTTTAGTCGAGTTCTTAAAGTGGATAACTGGTGACAAGGGCGAAGGATTTGGGGAAGATGTATGGATTGTTTGAAGTACAAGTATAATAAAGGGTATTGGCCTTGTCTCACAAATAGGTGACACAGCTGATTTAACTCTGAGACAAATTAGACTTGCAGCAAGTAATTTCTTTACATGGTATATAAAATATCAAGAAGAAAGATATCTTGAAATATGTGTCATTTAATTACTCCTAAATCTAAAAGGAGTGATAAAGATGAAACCTCTACCTCTATTCAACAATAATTTTCTTTTTTTCTTACCTCTTCAGCTCCTCCATAGCAGACTCTCCTCCATGTTGGTATGCTGACTGGTGCATTATTGGACGAGCGCTGTTTACAAAGAAATGCAACCTCTTCACCAAGATGCGTACCATGCGCACATGGTCGGGGCTTGGGATGAAGTTTTCCTAAAAATAATACAGAACAGAAGGATATTCAATTCCTTTCAATTAATATTTATTTCATTTCCAACAGAGATAAACAAAAGTATTACATATATTATTACAGAAAGTATGAAAAAAAATGTATATACAGTGTACATATTCTTTTTGTCTTGGTAACTATACAAGTATACTTTACATATAATAATATTATTACAAGAAATTCTTAATTTCTAAGGAAATAGGAGGGGGGAGGATCCATTAAAAGCAGTGCTTGCAGTTTGTGGATCCCCCAGAACAAACAAAAATTGTTTCAAATTGTGCCTTTTCATTACATTTAGACCATAACTTAGAACTGTAGTTATGATTGAGAGCATAAGTACAAAGGAAATCCTAGTATACACCATCCCTAGGTTTTAGGACAGAAGCTCTCTGGACAACTCCACCATAACAAAAGTACTCCTACAGCTGGGAGAAAACTATGCCCCAGACAATCATTCTGAGAGATGGGAGTTGATGTCAGGCTATAATTGCCTAAGGTCTGCTTTTTGTGGATACACATGTATGTACATCAGAACATTTATTTATTTATTTATTTATTTCTGATATTTATACAGGGTGGCACATATCACCAAATTTGGTGGTCTTCCATGAGACCCTGTTTGGTAAGAATAAAACAAATAACAGCAGCAAAAACAAAATAGATAAATACACAAGCATATAAACAGGTAAAATACCAATTAATTGGTATCCCCATGAAATAACTGATCATTCAAGAATCATCCTTGATCATTTACAAGCAATAGGTGAATGGAATTTTAAAATTTAAAAAAAAAAAATAATAATAATTTAAATGAAAATAAAATAAAGAATAGATGATAACCACTTATTCAAATGAAAGGGAAAAAAAGATTGAAAACGTTCATTTAATAATTTGATATAGCTTAACGCACGGGATACCTAAATTGTTTTATACATATTTACATTCAATTGCTCTTTAACTTAGGTTGTTTACAAGATAGCTGAAAATGGACACATTACATGTATGAATACATGATATAACGATAACCATGTCAACCTAATTTCATAATTTTGAAAATAGGAAAAAATTGGTTAGCTTCACACGCAACCCCCAAAAGTTCACTTACACGTCATCTACAGATTACAGGGCTTTTAGAGCGTGTTTAAAACTGTTCAAAGTAGGTGACATTTTGACAGAACTTTTAAGTTGGTTCCATACTCTTAATTCCAGAAATCAGAGGACTACATGTATTTTTATAAGTGTCCATCCTAAATTTGGGTACACACAATGCAACCCTTACAGCATGTCTTGTGTTGTGATCATGTAGTGAACTAACATTGATTCACTTACCCTGACTTGTGCCATAAAACTCTTATCCTCAGTCATCTGAAGAGAGTTCTGATTCAGCCAGAACTCCGTCAGGGCCTGGACCAGGACTTCAGAGCGCCAGGTCTCCTCTTGAGGATCATCTTGGATGGTCTGCTGGAAGCTGATCCCAGGTGCCGCGCCCGCTCCTCCTACACCCCCTCCACCGGAGCTTATACCCCTATGATGCAGGCCCAGGGTGGTATCCTGGTGCTGGGTGGGGCTGCGCTGGTGGGCGTGCCCTCCTTCTGCACCTCCGTAAGGACTGGAATGCCTGTAGAAAAGCGTTTTTCCCCATGTTAGTACATCAGAAGCTAATAGTCTACCTCCATAATTCTAATGTTCGGAGCCCATACTCATTAAAGTTAGTAGCGTTCTTTCCTAATGTTGGCAAAATTTCACACTTTGGTAAATTGGCTTACAATAAATGTGAGCACAATAGCACCATGTATTAATTTTCTTCTGTGTAATGCATGGTCATAACTGAAACAGCAACAAGTGTAGTTAGGAAAGGTTTGAAATAATATTGTCTGAAAAAAAACTGTGTTGCTGCCAGTGCCCCTAGAAAGTTGCAACAAAAACTAAACTGAGTCAACTTGTTGTCATTTCTTGCATAAGCTCAGTTAAGCAGTGAATGAAACATACACCCAAATACATGCACATGAATTAATATAGTCTACAAATATTAATTTTTTTAAACGCCTTGGTAAATCATAATACTATGTAGCAATATTGAAAGTTAAACAAATATATTAAAATTATAAGGAAATAAATAGGCAAGGTTGGATGCATTCTAGAGCATAAATGAAAATAAACAATAATCTCCTTTAGAAATATACTGATATCAGCACCATATCTTATTCATTTCTATGGTTTTCTATTACTATCTTTGGCTAGACAAAACCATGCACCACTAAAGAGCATATTAGAGATTGCAAAGCACTAGCTTTCCCATCTATGACATACAGAAACATCACAACACTACTTCATTATGAGAACAAGTCATTATTTTTTACTTTCATAGATATAATACCCTACTACATGCAAAACTAAACATGCAACTAGCATGACAGAGAAGCAATCACATGTTTGTTTGGTCCTTCAAATACTCTACACGTCGAATCCAAACAGAAGCAGCAACTTTTTTTTCTTCAACATTAAACTATAAGAAGAGTTAACTTGGTGGATAATTTATATAAAGAAAGTTTCAATCTCCTAATGAAAAAAGGAAGAACAGAAACAAACATACAATGTGATAAATAAATCTGTAGTAAATTGTAAAGTGCATATGAAAAGAACACCATCCCAAAGTAATAATATGGCACAAAATATTTGTATCAAATCAAGGAAATGCAAAAGATATCAAAATTAAAAGATGTACATGGTTAATGGATGAGACTGGCACCAACGAGTGAAATGCATGTAACCATCTAGAGCCTAAGAAATACTGAGCTTGGATGACTGCCACCAACGAGTGAAATGCATGTAACCATCTAGAGCCTAAGAAATACTGAGCTTGGATGACTGCCACCAACGAGTGAAATGCATGTAACCATCTAGAGCCTAAGAAATACTGAGCTTGGATGACTGCCACCAACGAGTGAAATGCATGTAACCATCTAGAGCCTAAGAAATACTGAGCTTGGATGACTGCCACCAACGAGTGAAATGCATGTAACCATCTAGAGCCTAAGAAATACTGAGCTTGGATGACGGGCACCAACGAGTGAAATGCATGTAACCATCTAGAGCCTAAGAAATACTGAGCTTGGATGACTGCCACCAACGAGTGAAATGCATGTAACCATCTAGAGCCTAAGAAATACTGAGCTTGGTCGCACAATATGGATTGGAAATATTCATTACAGAGACAACTGGTACTACAAAATCTAAGAATTGTAACAATGCAGATGGTCTGAGATTTTTGTTATGCGCTCATTAGAGTCAATCGCAAGAATGATTAGAAAGCAGAAATCGAACGATATAAACAGCTGGCTTTACGACTACTTTCTTGTGATTTAATCTGAGGAGTGCCAGACGGAAAGGTTTAATATGTCTGTATTCATTGCTATTCTTAAAGTTCGGTCAAACGATTGCATTGTGAAAGAAACGTTGTGGAACCAATCAGAAAATGTTGATCATGTAGCATATAAGTATTGATGTGTACTGCAAGGTTTTGGAATCATCAAAATGATAAGAAATTTGGCCCAGTCTTGGTAAAGTTACAAGCACTGTACACAGAAAGATGTATATGGGACAACACGATATCTATCCAGGTCGGATAGATATGATAATTTACCAAATATTTCCATTAGTAGGCGGTTTCCTGACAAAATGTGTATCATCACGTATTAGTCAAAACATATTCTTTCACATGATTGGTAATAAGGGCTACCATTTCATTTTTGAGAGGGGGGGGGGGGCATTTCCAAAACTGGTCTATACCTTTAAGTATTTCATTTGCTAAGACCCTAGGCTATATCATCTGTGCAAAGTGCTTGTACTTGGATATTGGAAAGAAAAATAAAAGAAAAAGAAAGAAAGAAAGAAAAAAAAAGAAAGAAAGAATATAAAACAAAAAGAAAGAAAAACAAGGAAAAAAACATGCAAATAAAAAGAGAGAGAGCCTTTGAAAACAAAGATTAGATAGGCAATTACATGATGCAATTAGACTTAAAAACAATGTTCTGCACCAAGAGCAATGAAGATCTAGTGAAAAATTTCATGAGTTTGCAAAGCAAAGCACAACATAAAAACCATGGAAACCAAGGAAATGCTTGTGATGAAAAAGAAATCAGTGTTTTCTTAATGTGAAAAATGTTAATGTTATGAAAAAAATATACAACCTAATTCCAGGAATTTTATGAAGATATTATGAGTATATCCTTATAGAACTTATCAGGAGAAAACAAAATGTTGTGCATCGCATTATTCATTTGTGTCAGTGTTAATGAGATGTGCCTATGCCTTAGCGAAGTGATATAGAAATCTGATAAGGTGTTCCCATAACCAAATAAACACTGATGATGTGAAATCTTACAAAAATAATAAACAAACCAGTGCAGCTGAGACAAGCAGACTCTGAGGCTGTGTTATGGCTCGTTCACATATATGCAACACTGTTACCATCATGGTTTACAGCACAATTTTTTTTTAAAGTGTACTTAAGCATACCGGACTTTACCGTTGCAGCATCCAGCTACTTTTTCCATCCCCTAATGCCTTTCATTTTAATAGTACACACACACACACACACAGAACAACAACAAAACCATGTGTTAAACCATGATGCTGTGATGAGGAATGTGTGAACGAACCTTTACCGGTACTTTAAAAATAAGATTTTAAAAATGTCTGACATAAATACAAGCGTGCAACAAAAGAAACGAAAGCACTGAAATGAAATGCAGCCGATGATTGCTCAACATGGTTTGACACTTTCTTTCCTTGAAAGACGACTTACAGGTAATGATAGAGAACTCCATACTGAGGTAGTCTGTAAAGGTCAAAGGTCAAACGTGAATAGATTAACATAGAAAGCAAATGGCATGTTGGTCTATATTCTACTGATTCAGTTTAACCCAATGCAAGGATTAAATCACATTAAACAACGGGGAAAACTCGGACCTCAGTCCAACGATCTATGTCAAACTCAACTTTAGATGAAACTGAAATCCTGCGTTGCCATTGGATTTGAATTTAGTAGAATAAGGACCCCTGGATGCACATGGCATTCATTTACATCAACACAAATACTGCAGGGGGGTGTTTCACAAAGACGAAGATCAACTTTAAGTTGGACTTAACTATGGCAGGCAGTTCATGCCACTGTTTTCTCTCACCGCTTACTGGCATTGGTTTCTGAAGGGACGTACAAATCATGTTAAAAAATCTACAGAATTTGCTTTTTTTGAAATATTCATTATTGAAGGAAAAAATATTATCTTCAGATCATAATGGTGAGAGCGACCAGTGGCATGGATGGACTTAAAGTCAATCTTACTCTTTGTGAAACACTCCCCTGGTTGACAACACAAGAAGCCATAACGCAGTCATTTATTTCTGTGGTAAAATTCAGACAGTTTGCTGTATATGATATGTATGATGTTGACAAAAATTGAAGGAATGTGGCAAAAAATTCATGAACATCATGTATACAATTCTGATTTACACTGCATTTTTTATATCGTTATTTTTTTTTTGCAATGAGAAAGAATGAGGAGGACTGGTTTGGAGCAGGGCTATGCAATCGTCCTTTCAATGATTAAAAAAAGGGGGGTGGTTTTTTTTTTCTCTTTCAAACTTGCTATGACAGGTATGCAAAATAAGGGGATGAATCACAAGTTACCTGTACGGTGAGAGTCGGTTGGCAGCAGGGGTAGGGGCGCTGCTGGTTACCGGTATGGGGGGCACAGCGCGCCCATCACTACGGAGGAAGTAGCACAGGTACTGGTCCAAGAGGACTGGGTAGAAGTAATCCTGGGGTTGGGTCCAATTATTCATTGTCTGGCAAGAGAGAGAGAGTGTGTGTGAGAGAGAGAGAGAAATAGAGAGGAATTAAAGAATAGGTTGAGTTCTTGTAACCTGTAAATTAATTTGTGAGCTTCCCATTCTTTATAATAATAATAATATAATATGCCATTCTTGCATAGCCGGTATTACATTATGATATACATGTAGTGTCTCTTTACCATTTCAAAAGGACTTTGGATATCAATACCCCAGGTTTAGCTCCAGGAACATTAGCTCTCAGTGCATTCAAGGAATGAATCCTACCAGGTACCCACTTAATTACACCTGGGTCGAGAGTGGCAAATGCAGGTTAATGTCTTTTAAGGGATGTTAGTGCTGCGGCAGAGTTTCAAACTCTGTAATTTGTCGTTCACAGACCAGACTTATTTACTAGAATCAACACCTCTTCTTTTTCTCTAAAAGTGGAAGAATAAAATAGTAACAATTCTTCATGAGACTGACTGCTTTAGAAATGCCCTCATATTCCGAATATACCTACAATATACCAATTTTATCATCTGTTATTGTTGTTTTCTGGAAATACTCTGATAAAGTCCTTCTGTATGTGTCTCTTTTTCTTGTTTAAAGCTTGCAGTCTCCACTAATTTGATAACACAACACTTAACTAACATCTTTGAAACCATACCTTATGCACTCTGTCGCTGACAAGATAATACGCAAAGACGTACATAAAGTACTCAAATGCATCTAAAATTTAGAGATTAAGGTAAATCTGTGAAGCATTTGAGAGAAAACAAAAATTATGAAAATCTTGTTAGGCATCATGTAGATTATATACAAATATACCTAAGAGGTAAGATGCATGTCTTGGTCTCCTGCAAATACAAAACAAAATGTAAACATGCAAGGTCCAAACATATGGTAAACACAGAAGAAACAGTTCAAAGAAAAAGTTGAGTTCTGGGAAGAGGTGAAAAATAACTTGGAACCGTTATCAATGTATTATACAAGTGTGGAAGCACATCAGATAACAAATGTTCCCTCAAAAGCATGGCTCTTTAAATGCCTTAATATTCTAAATATGGCATATAACATCATACAAATTGGGACAGATTTTTATGCCACATGTTCGTGTAGTCCCATATACACCTTTCTGTGTACAGTGCTTGTAACTTTACCAAGACTGGGCTAATTTCTTATCATTTTGAAGATTCCAGAACCTTACAGTACACACCAATACTTATATGCTAGAAAACACTTTTTCTAATCGATTCCACGTTTCTTTCACAATGCAATTGTATGACCAAAACTCAACTTTATCTTTAAACGGTGAAAATTAAGGAGAAAATTGAGAGCAACCAAATGTTTATATTGCCAGTGTGCAGCTCCACCTGTTATTGGAACAGGTTAATGTTCTCTTGATGGACTTTAATTGATTGCAGATAATATTCTTATTTCCTCTCTAAAAGAGGCCCAGTCTCTTACAGAAATTCATACCACCTTGTACACTACAATAGTTGTAATTCCTGCACAAGCATCAGCATTTTCTGTTTCGTTTTATTTGCTTCTTCATCTTCTAGTACCCCTTTATTTTCTCTCCCAGGTATGGAGTGCAAATAGCCAAATATATATTTATGTCTTGCCAGCTGTGTGAGGATGTGGACCTTTTGATCTTAATTCTATATGCTTCTGCCTCTTCTAGTTCTCCTATTCTCTATCCCGGGTATGGAGTGGCAAATGCGTCTTCATGTTTTGCCAATTGAGGATGTGGACCTTTTGTTCTTAATTCTAGGAAATAATCAGAGACTGCGCTCTTTCTACTGATATCAAAGGATACTAAGCATGACTACAGAGGGCGCCCTTCCATGAGACTGGTAGTTCAGCTTTCCTTGGTAGAACAGAGGCACGATCCCAGAGGCCAAGGATGCTCGTGTGGGGGCCTACAGAGAGAGAGACAGAGACAGAGAGAGAGACAGAGAGACAGAGAGAGGGAGGGAGGGAGGGAGGGGAGGAAGGAGGGAGAGAGAGGGAGAGGGAGAGAGAGGGAGAGAGAGAAAGTTACCATTAAAGCACTTCAAAACAAATCACAATACCAATTCATGAATTAGAAATAACAATATCACAAGCTTTAAAGCCCCACCGTACTACTTGTAGCTACTTGCTCCCTCTTTATAGAAAACAATGCCTAAGCAGTACTCATTGATCCCCCATGGTCCTCTTTTTCTTATGTTAATTGAGAGCTGAGTTGATGAGATAGCCACCTGTCAGTGACCACGTTGGGTAGTCTAATCCCCCCTGGCCGAACTAGTACAGACGGGCTTTAAAAGTCATGACAACATACATTTCAAAATTCTCTTTGGATATTTGGGTCCTCCAAACCCCCTAACATTCGCCAGACTGCAATCAACCTTCATTCCATCTGCCAGGAAAGGTGGACAAAATCATAACGATAGCTTTGTTCACACATGATGTAATAAACCGCCTTTAAGGTAATACAAAGTTTTGGTAAAGGTTCATGAATTCGGTTCAAATGAACATATTGGAAGCATATGCAATCCTACACTATTCAGTGATCGTTGTCGCAGTTGTGATGTCTAAAGTGATGAAATTGTAAATGATAAGACTATTTATGTTGTATAGCTCCCTCTCAAGGTCAAGATATTAATTTAGCTATAAAGCAATGTTTCTTGACTAAAATCGACCGATCGGCTGTTCTCGTTTGAAAAATATATATCACAACTGCATATTTTGAGATTTTTATGGTCGCAGCTGCCATTGTATGGCCATAGGCGCTATTTGATATTCAATTTTTCTCGAAAGCAGAAGTGTTTTAGTGGCTTAATTTTGCATTGCTTATAATACATCCACAGGGGCATCCAAATATATCACAATTATAAAGAATCACTATCCAGCCAATTTTCAAAACTTTGTATTACCTTTAAAAAGAAAAATGACATCAGCATTGTGTGCTTGACATTTCGGTATGTTATAACTGAAGTCGGTCTAGGTAGCCGAGTGAAATGCAGAGGTGTGTGATGACCATGAATTAAAAGTTTGTATACAATATATATGACAGAACGCTTAGGTAATATAATAAAGCCTGATCAAGATAATACATGTATTCACCAGCTTCTTTTATTACCAATGTGACCCGACCTCTATGTGTTAAAATTACGAATTTTTTTTTTTCAACAGTAAAGCATCTTGCATACGGAAGACATCTTTTTGTGCACAAAATTAGCTACCTTAGGGGCTTTTTTCACCCAGCTTGATTACAGGCATTTCATTGTCAAATCTTTTCACTATTTTGCTGTGGCTTTTTTTCCCGGCAGTTTTTCAAGTCATGTCCGACCGTATGCTTACGGAAAGTTTATCGACAGGGAACTCATATCTGAGGTAGTGATCACTCTGGAGCTTGTAGACCATGAGGAAGACCGGGCCGCTGGGCGACATGAAGTCCTGTAGGTGCTTGGAGTCATCCTTGGCATACAGGCTGTTCAGGGTGTTGAGACCCCATCCGGGATGGCCGTTCAAACCAAACACAAGGTCCAGGAACAGAGGGTATATGCTGTTAAGATCCTGGAAGGAGATGGAGAAGAAAATCCAGAACAAAATAGAATTGTTAAAGGCATCGTTTAGCAATGTTAAATCTGAGATGCATGGTACTACGTGTTATCCCTGCCTGTGATATGGTGTATTATTGAAGCCTTTAAAAAAAAGGCAGTGTAACTGGCAATACGCGGTAAATCTGTGCAAAAAAGCGAATACAAATTCGCTGCTCAATCATGCAGCCCTTCAACGCACGCAATACGTGAACTCTCACATCGAGGCATATGATAAAACAAGCTTAATTGGGCTCAAGCAACACCACAAAAAAAACTAGATGGAATTTTGACTGCGCCCAGTCGAAAATGATGCCTCCGCCATATAGCAATTTAAACAAGTTTGGAGTTTAAATCTCCAGTGGTTCTTGAGATATCATGATAACAATCTCAATGTATGGAATTTCATAAGTTGACCTCTGTGACCCTTGACCTTTGACCTACGTGCTCCAAAATCTAATCAGATTGTCTTCCTATGGTGATACACACTATCATTAAGTTTGAAGTTTAAATCTCCAGTGGTTCTTGAGATATTATGATAACAATCTCAATGTATGGAATTTCATAAGTTGACCTCTGTGACCCTTGACCTTTGACCTACGTGCTCCAAAATCTAATCAGATCGTCTTCCTATGGTGATACATACTATCCTTAAGTTTGAAGTTTTTACATCTCCAGTGGTTCTTGAGATATCATGATAACAATCTCAATGTATGGAATTTCATAAGTTGACCTCTATGACCCTTGACCTTTGACCTACGTGCTCCAAAATGTAATCAGATTGTTTTCCTATAGTGATACACACTATCACTAAGTTTGAAGTTTAAATCTCCAGTGGTTCTTGAGATATCATGATAACAATCTCAATGTATGGAATTTCATACGTTGACCTCTGTGACCCTTGACCTTTGACATACGTGCTCCAAAATCTAATCAGATCGTCTTCCTATGGTGATACATACTATCCTTAAGTTTGAAGTTTAAATCTCAAATGGTTCTTGAGATATCGCGCTAACAAACTCAATACAAGGAATTTCATAAGTTGACCTCTGTGACCTGTGACCTTTGACCTACGTACTCCAAAATCTAATCAGATCGTCTTCCTATGGTGATAAATACTATTCCCAAGTCTTAAGTTTAAATCTTAAATGGTTCTTGAGATATTGTGATAACGGTCAAACGGGACGGACGTACGTACGGACGTACGGACGGACAACCCGAAAACATGATGCCTCCGGCACCACCTTCGGTGGCGGAGGCATAAAAATGAAAAAAATGAAATTTTGAAAAAACAGAATATTCCGGATTTGGGGTCCTAAAAATCCAGAAAAACAGAATATTCTGGATTATTCGGAAGGGTTGGCAGGTATGTAAACCATTAGGAAATCGAAAAAATTAAATTTTGATTTCCAATCATAAATGTCTTGATAATCAGACAGGCGATCTGCTTGTAAAAGTCATGGGATTTCTGACAGACCTAAAGGTTTATAATTATGATTGCAGCATGAACTAAAGCCAGCATTTTGTTTAGAATCTAAGGCAAAGATACCCAATGATCCCTTTGAAGAAGATGTCAAGTTCTGAGAAAAGTGACAAATAGTCAAGGAGTTTTCACATTCTTTTTATTCATGTGGAAGAATATCACAGTAAAAATCAAATGTCCCATAAAAAAGGATATATGCTGTGAAGAACCTGCATGGAGAGTGCGGAAGAATCTCAGAGAGAGAGAGAGAGAGAGAGAGAGGGAGAGAGGGAGAGAGGGGGGGTAGAATTGGAACAGAAAGATGTTTACAGTGAAAGAATATCACAGTACAAATTAAATATCTTGTGAAAAGGACTGCTTTTGGATATCTGCATATTCCAAATTTCATTTGTGTGAAAGAATATCACAGTAAATTTTGACACTTTTTTTTACTCTGATCGTGCATGATAGTAAGTTTTAGTATGTTCTTTTGTTCTCGTTTTCCTGTATGTGTGTTTTTAGGGGTAGGCTTTTATATAAGGAATCCCTCCTTTCTGCCTTTCCCAAATGCTCTTATAAATTGCCATTGTATTTGTTATCACTTTCTTGTTTTTTTTATAACTCAGGGGTGATAGTGAGCATTAAAAAAAAAATAGGTTTTTGTTTTCCCCTCAACCACGCCCCCCTTTGAGTAAAAAAAAAAGAAGAGGATTCGCGGGGAAAAAATGGCATCTAACAACATTCCCCCCTTTCGAGTGAGAAAATTGGGAAAAAATAGGGAAATTTGGGAAAAAAATAGGGTAGAACAGAGAAAATAAGGTGGAAATCAGGAAAATCAGGATAAAATTAATAGCGAAGAAGAAAAAAAATCTGGTAAAAAAAAAAAAAAAAAAAAATCTGGATTTTTTTTTTTTTTTTTTAAATCGGGATGAAAAAAAAAATCGGGAAAAAATCGGGAAAAATATAAAAAATCGGAAAACCGATTTAAATCGGGTTTTTATCAGGCCTGATAACTATATTCTGTATTTGTATGTTTTAAATGTTTTTATGAAGAGTGTTGAATAAACTTTGAATTGAGAAAAAGATAGTATAAAATGAATGTCTCATGAAAAGGACTGCTTCTGGAATATCCTCATATTCCAAATATAACCAATACTATCCTAAAACTTTGGACCAGGTTTTTGATCATTTCATGTGTATATTGTCCCATCTACTCCTATCTGAGTAGATGGGACTAGGTTTGCAAGGGTACTTGCATGTGAGTCAATTTGTTATAATTTTGAAAACACAAATTGTCATCCACATTTACTTTGGAATTTGAGGTACAGCCAACATCCAAACTAGGATTATCATAATGACAATAAAGGTATCTCCCATCTGTCTTTAGGGAATCGCTCCTTCATTTTGAGAAAAACATATACATTTATATAGATAAATGTACATGAATATGTTTTTATGCATTTTTTTACAATTTATTTGTTCTACTTCATACCTTGCTTGAGGATCTTCTGATGAGGCTTTCTAATTCAAAACATCGTGTTCGCAGGGGGTAGTGTAAGCCACACAATGACTTTACCTGGGCCTGTAGTAATAAATAATAATAATCAATTTAAAAGGTTGCAGCGATGCATGGAAATGTTCTAGTTACATGAAGATATCCACAATAAAGGCATAAAAATCTGAAATCAAACTGTTATTCAAACATGAATCTGAGGGCTAGATAAGCTAAAGTTTACATTACAAATGTAGCCCAAATGGTCTCACAGTATTTTTGTACTACAGCATGTCACTTTAAGAGTTGGGATAAAATACAGGCCCTTGTATTAAACCACATGACCAAAACTGATTTTCACTGACATAGAATTGGACCTTGCAAGTTGTGGATCAATAAATCTCAATTGTAAATTTTTGGTCCAACCTCTTTTAAAAGTTAACCTGCAACTTGAACACGCAATAGATTGCATGAAAACTGCAAGGAACAGGAGCTATATCAAATACATTTGTAATACAAAGATGGGATAGACTCAGTTATTGACATACGAGTATGTTTCATGCATATTCTTAATATAGACACATCACTGTACATGGATTGATGCCTACACACATATTGGACATGGCACACACAACACTGCAGTGCGTAATCTTCATTGTATGAAGTAGCATTTAACGAGGAATAAGAAATAGAAGAAGAAGAAGAATGTTATCTGGCGTTGAGGTCTCCCTTCATTTTGAAAAACCATAAAAAAATTAGAAAATGGTAGAACATAGCTGAAGACGGTTGCCCCAGTAAAAGTAGAGCTAGCCTCTATGCTCAAATATCACAACTGAGGACATTTTCAACAAAGAAACTTGTGAGTTCCATTTGTTACTTATTTGTTACCATTGACTTTGTTGTTGATTCATTAAATTGTTTAGAAACCCATTTGCAAGTATCATACAGTACGCTTTGAAAAAATGTGCATTAATGTGCTGCTGTAAAGTGCAGTGTTGCCTTTTTTTAATATACAGCCAGGCACGTAATGCTGCTATGTGTGCTATGTGCTAGGGTAGCGCGCCCGGTAATCGGTCAATTACCAGTATTTGGTCAGACAGCCGTTTCAACAGCTGTAACAAACTAAAAAATAATTTATGAGCCACGAAACTTGCACAAATCAGGCAGGTGAGCAACTTATCTTAACTCTCAAAATTAAATCAGGTATACTGGGCCTCGGAAAGATCTCCAACTTAACTCGAAATTGGTCAGTGTCGCACAACTTTCTACAGTTCCAGGTTCTGTTAGCACTTGCACTAACATGCATAGCCATATGTAGAAGTCTATTCTAAAACAATTACGTGTGCTGGTGCAATGAATTTAGTATGTATGAATATAGTATCGCTTCCGTGTTCACTCCATCGCAGCAAATTTGCAAATGACGCACTCGCCGATGTGCAAAAGGTATTTACACAATACCCTTGCCATGCGGTAGCGCTCTTCCAGTATTTGGTTAACGCATTGACATTCAGTGCTTTGTCGCGCAATGGTGTGAAAATAGCGTGCAAATACGCTTCGTCCCTTGTCAATGGAGTTGACACGAACAAACTGCATGACCGAATTCTGGGCAGAAAACTGCTCCTTCTTCTTTCCGAGATATTTTGCTCTTCATCGTTCTATATTTTAAGTGACTTTAAAATCCTGTTAGAGGATTAATTTTCCTTTCTTTTGATAGGTAGATTGCCAAATAAAGGAGGTAAAAATTAATTAGCGATTTCCCCTTAAAGGTACTATGTCCCATTTGCAGGCCAAAAAAATGAAAAAGTTAAATTCCAACTGCATTTGAAAGATAATACTAATTTAGAACTTCCCTAAAAATGTTGGGGCTTGAAAATGTCTTCAAGTGGGAAAATAACGACTATTAGTTGTCAAATCGACTTTAGGGCTATAGAGCCCAAAAGTAATAGTCTTGATTTTCAGACAATTGTACCGAATGGTCATACGTTTTATGCTGCGCAAAGATTCAATCAGTTTAATCTTGGCCATCACAAGAAGTGGGTTATTGATGTAGACAAATGCTCATGTACCCTTTAAAACTCTTTTCATGGATGTTATTACCAAAAAAGAAAAAAAAGCCAGTCAGTCACTCAATAGTGTCTGACAGTTAAGTCTAGCAAGTTAACGGGTTTCCTTGCATAATTTGAATATGAGGACACTGCTAACTAGGCCTGAGTCATGTCGGGATTTTCATAAACCGGGTCCCGACGGCGTTGCACCGATCGGGACCCGGCGTCCCGAAATCAGCTCGCAGGATTTGTCACTTGCCTCTATAAAAAGCGCATATCATCAGTATGTCTCTTAAAAGGGACCTTTTTTCTCAATCAAATAAATCAACACATGCATACCTCGGCTCAGATCGGTATTTTCTTCCATTTGACATTATTTTCATCCATGATTGGCGATGTTTAGTGCCATTATCGTGCCTCTAAAAGTAAAAAACTGGGGCAGAAATAGAAGGCAAACATTCGAGCCGCCATTTTGATTTATGCAGGTTGAATAAATCTGGTCAAAAAATATGAATGTTAGAATAATAAAAACGGCTTTCTAAAAAATTCTTCTATACAATACCGATCATATAATATTTTAAAGACAAAATAAATATTTATCTCTTATTCTAAACATCGCATGCTTTTTTTTTAAAGCTGAAAATTACTTGGTAATCACAAGAAGTTTCGATGGGGATAGCTGTTGCAAGGCAAGTTCAGACTAGTCTCGGAAAAATGCGCAGTGCGCCTCGTTAGCTGTAATGTGTGCTAGAACGAACCCAAACAAAGACGTGATCGTAACGAGAAAAAAAATCATTAAAAACTACGAGAGCACAATTGGAAAGACAACTACTGCTCAAAATTACCATAATCAGATACATAACTTGGACAAAGAATTCAATAATCACCCAAGAAATGCCACAGAAATTGTGATAATAGAGGAGTAACTGGGTACATTTTTATCGCAAGAGGCCTAGCTGCTGCAAATACTCGAATCCTTTGTTATACTGCTTTTTACCGTAGAGGGCCTCATTTGGTTTCTAGCCTCGTGTTCAATTTAAACACGTGTAATTCGGATATCGCAGCAGCTAGGCCCTTCCGATAATGATTGTACCTATAGTAACTCCTTAAATATCACTATTTATGTGGCTTTTCTTGGACAACTATTGTATTCTTCCTCCAAGTTATGTTTCTGCTTACGATAATTTTGAGTAGTTGTCTTTCCAATTGTGCTCTCGTAGTTTTTAATGATTTTTTTCTCGTTACGATCACGTCTTTGTTTGGGTTCGTTCTGGCACGCATTACTGCTAACGAGGTGCACTGCGCATTTTTCCGAGACTAGTCTGAACTTGCCTTGCAACAGCTATCCATATCGAAACTTCTTGTGATTACCAAGTAATTTTCAGCTTTTAAAAGAAGCATGCGGTCTTCAAAATCAAAGAAAAAATATCTATTTTGTCTTTTAAAAATTATTCGATCGGTATGTTGTAAAGAAGTACTTTTTAGAACGCCGTTTTATTATTCAAACATTAATGTTTCTTTCAACCTGATTTATTAATCCTGCCGAGAGACCCGGCCATAGCTAGCAGCTAGCTGGCAACAACAACCCCATGGGGCAAACTGCTTTGCAACCACTATTTGTATCAGCAGTTCGGATTGATTCAGGATGAGCTAGAATATGATTGGTAACAATTGAATACGTAAGTTTTAAGCTGGATTGATTTTAGTGGTGTGCAAAACTGCAATTTCTTACATATTTCATTATTTTTTTCGGAGCGTCGGTTCTCAAAAAACGAAACCGGGACCCGACGGCAACGGTCGGGTCCCGGTGTGATCGACCGTACCGACTCAAGCCTACTGCTAACGTTTAAATTTCACAGATAGGACATACATGACATATTCATAATTCCTGCAAAGTTCTACAGCATTTGAGGTTGGCTGAAAAAGGGACATAGTACCTTTAATAAGTGACCGAATACCGGGCGCGCTACCCTACTACATTACGACCAAGTATGCGTACCACATCAATGTTAACACGTGGGACAACACTGAAACTACTTTTGTAATAATAGTACACTTGCATGCATAGTCAAAACTCAAAAGAGAGCAAACACAATGAATTTCCCACTTTGCTTATCCATAGAAGAACACACTTCAATACAATGTCAAATCAATATAACTTACGGTCAAAGAACTTGATCTTTCAGTAGGTTCAGGGGAAGTTGAGCCGCCGCGTCGAAATCTGTCCCAGCTCATGGATGCCGCCATTTTCTCAAAATATAGTCTTAACTGCATACGTACACCGCGCGTCATGTATGCGCCTACAAAGCTTTTAATTATTATTTATTTCTCCGTTTAAACAGTTTAGACCCAGAGCTAGAGACATCAGCCTGACTATTATAATGCAGACATATTGTAACGTGCAACATATTCATCCGAGCCGTGCTGCATGCGCTTTTACAACAGATTAATGAAAATAATTATTCGTTAGATTAATATCTTACCAACTCATGACATTAATAGGCTATAATGATGTGTTGAGAACTCAAACCTCAAACTTTGTGATTAACAGTTCGGTGACTTATATTCATGTACAAGGGTGTCGATTTGTATCCGTGGTTGGGGGGGGGGATGATAGGTGCCAAGATATTTTTCGGCAATGGATCAAAGCAACCAAGAGGTAGAAGCGTCAAGCGTGTGGCAGGTTGCACCCCTCCCCAAGGGCGTAACCAGGATTTCATTTAAGGGGGGGGGGGGGCCGGTAGGGAGCGGCACGCGAATCATTTACAGAGCGCGCTCCCTAGGAGGTAGGGTGCAGGGAGGGGGCAGTTTCCCCCCTCCCCCGCGAAGCGCGGAAGCTTTGACGTTTCATTAAATTATTAGAGAAAGAAGACGATTCGTTGGACCGTTCTCGACTCTTAATCCTTGTTTGAATCAAGTTCCCCTTCATCCGCGCGTAGCGCGGAAGCTCTGACATTTCATTAGATTATTAAAGAAAGAAGACGATTCGATGTACCATTCTCGACTCTTAATCCTCGCCTGAATTCAGTTCCCCCCCCCCCCCCCCACATTCCGCGCAAAGCGCGGAAGCTTTCACGTTTCATTTAATTAACAGAGAAAGGAGACGATTCGTTGTATCGTGTACTAATTTGACGTTTCATTTAATTATAACTCTTAATCCTAGTTTGAATTCAGTTGCCCCCTCCCGCGCAAAGCGCGGAAATTTTGCCGTTTCACTAAATTATTAGAGAAAGAAGACGATTCGTTGTACTGTTCTCTATATTAATCCTTGTCTGAATTCTGTTACCCCACATGATGTACGTATGGAACGTTCGTTCGCAAATCTTTGCATGCACAGCCTGAGTGGTGGGTATCATGTTATCTCCCGGCAGTGCTTGTCGCAATAGCTTCTGGAAAGGAATTGTATACTAATGTTATCTGTTAGTGTTATCAGCCACTAATGAGGCCCATTAGTGACTATACAAAATATATGCTCTTCCTGGCTATTTGGGAATGTTGTCAGTTTGCAACAGAACTGGAGAAACGCAAATTTTGTTGAAAATCATGTGATATCACGAACATTTATAAATCACTTGTATGAAATTGAAAATAAGTCATGGTTGGATGTTATTTTTAGCAAGTAGTGAACTATCTCATAAGTCATACTAATGTCCGAAAATCTTTCTCCTTGTCTCCGATCTCATCATGAATTCGTCACAGAGTTTATCTATGTTTACACTATCCAGAATTGTTTGATGTGCTTGCAGATTGCTACCTTTGCGCTTCGCGCTTAACATTTTGCTCGTTGCTTTTTAACGCAGCGGCTTTGCATTTGGCGCACTGCATTTCTATGATGCTATTGATTAAACAAATTGAATAAATTCATCAATTCCTGATGAAGCGAGAATTCAATTTATTCTTGTCTCATATACGGTTGTCTCCAGTGGCGGATCCAGGGGGGGGGGACCCGGGGGGCACGGGCCCCCCCCCCCCCTTGAGAAAAAAATCATGTAAAATCACGTGATTTTTACCTTTTGGGGGGGTTGGGCCCCCCCCCCCTGGCGCTCAAGGGGGGGGGGGGTGCAAATTGATTTTTTTTTGAGGATCAAAAAAAAAAATGTGCTCTGAATTCGTTGGACCGTTCTCGACTCTTAATCCTTGTTTGAATCAAGTTCCCCTTCATCCGCGCGTAGCGCAGAAGCTCTGACGTTTCATTAGATTATTAAAGAAAGAAGACGATTCGATGTACCATTCTCGACTCTTAATCCTCGCCTGAATTCAGTTTCCCCCCCCCCCTCCCACATTCCGCGCAAAGCGCGGAAGCTTTCACCTTTCCATTTAATTAACAGAGAAAGGAGACGATTCGTTGTATCGTGTCCTTGTCTGAATTCAGTTTCCCCGCGCGGAAGCTTTGCATTTCAATAAATTATTACTCTTAATCCTTGTCAGAATTAATTTCCGCCTATCCCGCGCGAAGCGCGGAAGCTTTCACGTTTCATTAAATTGTTATAGAAGGAAGACGATTCGTTGTATCGGGTCCTTGTCTAAATTCAGTTTCTCCCCCTCCTGCGCAAAGCGCGGAAGCTTTGACGTTTCTTTTAATTATTACTCTTAAATTAATCCACGTCTGAAATCATTTTCGCCCATCCCGCGCGTAGCGCGGAAGCTTTCACATTTTCTTAAATTATTAGAAAAAGAAGACGATTCGTTGTATCGTGTACTAATTTGACGTTTCATTTAATTATAACTCTTAATCCTAGTTTGAATTCAGTTGCCCCCTCCCGCGCAAAGCGCGGAAATTTTGCCGTTTCACTAAATTATTAGAGAAAGAAGACGATTCGTTGTACTGTTCTCTATATTAATCCTTGTCTGAATTCCGTTACCCCACATGATGTACTTATGGAACGTTCGTTCGCAAATCTTTGCATGCACAGCCTGAGTGGTGGGTATCATGTTATCTCCCGGCAGTGCTTGTCGCAATAGCTTCTGGAAAGGAATTGTATACTAATGTTATCTGTTAGTGTTTTCAGCCACTAATGAGGCCCATTAGTGACTATACAAAATATATGCTCTTCCTGGCTATTTGGGAATGTTGTCAGTTTGCAACAGAACTGGAGAAACGCAAATTTTGTTGAAAATCATGTGATATCACGAACATTTATAAATCACTTGTATGAAATTGAAAATAAGTCATGGTTGGATGTTATTTTTAGCAAGTAGTGAACTATCTCATAAGTCATACTAATGTCCGAAAATCTTTCTCCTTGTCTCCGATCTCATCATGAATTCGTCACAGAGTTTATCCATGTTTACACTATCCAGAATTGTTTGATGTGCTTGCAGATTGCTACCTTTGCGCTTCGCGCTTAACATTTTGCTCGTTGCTTTTTAACGCAGCGGCTTTGCATTTGGCGCACTGCATTTCTATGATGCTATTGATTAAACAAATTGAATAAATTCATCAATTCCTGATGAAGCGAGAATTCAATTTATTCTTGTCTCATATACGGTTGTCTCCAGTAGCGGATCCAGGGGGGGGGGGACCCGGGGGGCCCGGCCCCCCCTCCCTTGAGAAAAAAATCATGTAAAATCACGTGATTTTTACCTTTTTGGGGGTTGGGCCCCCCCCCCTGGCGCTCAAGGGGGGGGGGTGGAAATTGAAATTTTTTTGAGGATCAAAAAAAAAAATGTGCTCTGAATTCGTTGGACCGTTCTCGACTCTTAATCCTTGTTTGAATCAAGTTCCCCTTCATCCGCGCGTAGCGCAGAAGCTCTGACGTTTCATTAGATTATTAAAGAAAGAAGACGATTCGATGTACCATTCTCGACTCTTAATCCTCGCCTGAATTCAGTTCCCCCCCCCCCCCAACATTCCGCGCAAAGCGCGGAAGCTTTCACGTTTCATTTAATTAACAGAGAAAGGAGACGATTCGTTGTATCGTGTCCTTGTCTGAATTCAGTTTTCCCCCTAACGCGCAAAGCGCAGAAGCTTTGACGGTTCAGTAAATTATTACTATTAATCCTTGTCTGTATTCATGTTCGCCCATCCCGCGCGAAGTGCGGAAGCTTTACCGTTTCATTAAATTGTTATAGAAGGAAGACGATTCGTTGTATCGGGTCCTTGTCTAAATTCAGTTTCTCCCCCTCCTGCGCAAAGCGCGGAAGCTTTGACGTTTCTTTTAATTATTACTCTTAAATTAATCCACGTCTAAAATCATTTTCGCCCATCCCGCGCAAAGCGCGGAAATTTTGCCGTTTCACTAAATTATTAGAGAAAGAAGACGATTCGTTGTACTGTTCTCTATATTAATCCTTGTCTGAATTCCGTTACCCCACATGATGTACTTATGGAACGTTCGTTCGCAAATCTTTGCATGCACAGCCTGAGTGGTGGGTATCATGTTATCTCCCGGCAGTGCTTGTCGCAATAGCTTCTGGAAAGGATTTGTATACTAATGTTATCTGTTAGTGTTATCAGCCACTAATGAGGCCCATTAGTGACTATACAAAATATATGCTCTTCCTGGCTATTTGGGAATGTTGTCAGTTTGCAACAGAACTGGAGAAACGCAAATTTTGTTGAAAATCATGTGATATCACGAACATTTATCAATCACTTGTATGAAATTGAAAATAAGTCATGGTTGGATGTTATTTTTAGCAAGTAGTGAACTATCTCATAAGTCATACTAATGTCCGAAAATCTTTCTCCTTGTCTCCGATCTCATCATGAATTCGTCACAGAGTTTATCTATGTTTACACTATCCAGAATTGTTTGATGTGCTTGCAGATTGCTACCTTTGCGCTTCGCGCTTAACATTTTGCTCGTTGCTTTTTAACGCAGCGGCTTTGCATTTGGCGCACTGCACTTCTATGATGCTATTGATTAAACAAATTGAATAAATTCATCAATTCCTGATGAAGCGAGAATTCAATTTATTCTTGTTACATATACGGTTGTCTCCAGTGGCGGATCCAGGGGGGGGACCCCGGGGGCCCGGGCCCCCCCCCCCCCTTGCGAAAAAAATAATGTAAAAACACGTGATTTTTACCTTTTTTGGGGGTTGGGCCCCCCCCCCCCTGGCGATCAAGGGGGGGGGGGGGGGGGGGGGTGCAAATTGAAATTTTTTTGAGGATCAAAACAAAAAAAATGTGCTCACTACCCCCCCCCCCCCCCCCCCCCCCCCCCCCCCCACTGAGCGAATTTTTGGCCGGCGCGTTTTTCAAATTTTCGGGAGCAAAAAAAAAAATAATAATAATAATAATTGTGCTCTGTACCCCCCCCCCCCCCCCCCCCCCCCCCACTGAG